CTGTCTTAAAACTAAAAGATTACGCTCTCTCGCGCGAACTCATTCGGGAGTGGTGACTTTCCACGTATTCCCAACTTCTGAGCCTGCTCGCCTGAAGTTATGGTTGATTGCTCTTCGACTGGATATCAACACACCCATTAACGTAAACTACGCCAGAGCGAGTACACACCTCACGCACCGGATGCCGTGCGCGCGCCCAAAGACAGTTGGACATAGTGGTGTATTAGAGGTAAAAAATGATATAAATACTGTTCGGTTTCTCGCACAAACCGATCGTTTCGTGTCTTAGGACATCAATGTGTCGCCACGAGCCGCAGGGTTTAATTTGGATTTGTCTGTGCATGTTTTTTTTTACTCTCATCGATTTTGTTACCATTGCCATGCATTATACGACTGATAGACTGCAACGGTTAACGTTAAAAATCATCATATTTGTTCTACTGAAGAAACAAAGTCACCTACATCTTGGATGCCCTGGGGGTAAGCAGATAAACATCACATTTTCATTTTTGGGTGAACTATCCCTTTAATTCAGGCCCGCGAAAGGGTTAACGGGCCTACGTGACATGACAGCGATTAGCCGGATTGCCGTTTTCAGGCTGAATGTTTACATAATCAGATTAAATCGCGATAAAATGATGGATAGATGCCACAAACTGATCTTAAAACAAAATGTTATCAAATAAGCTCACTCATAAATCTAGAAAAGACGTCAGAAATCAACAAAATCACTAATTATTTTTGATTTATTACCATAATAAGAACGTTCGTACCTTTTGTTATAAGGGGAAAAAAAATAATGAGAAAAATACCGTCCGTACAAATAACCGAATTATTATGTTAACGTTAGCGATGAATGACTAGAGTAATGTTTACATACGCGATTATAATGATAATTTAAAACGTCGTTATTACCTGTCCATGCTTCAGTGATGGAGAATGACGGATATCGATTAAAGCAGGACACAGGCCTCTTCTACGCGTCTTTGCGTCGTTTATTCCCGCTCTTCGCTAAGAACAGCATCCAGCATCACGATCGCTCGAAATCTAAATGAAAACAAACGCTCGCCCTGATTCTTCCGGATAATATTCGAAGGAATGCGACCCGCTTCTGATGTCGACATCAACTCACATCCACCACATCAGCCTCTGTTTCCAAGTCTTTTAACGCCTTCCAAGAGTAAAATAGGTCTTGCATTTGTTAAATTATCCCAGAGCCGAGAGAATCCATGAAAACACCGGAGAGACGGACGCTTTCAGCAGCAGCATCTCCTCCGTCTTCCTCTCCATCAGAGAAAAATGTTGTAAGGTGCTTTGCTTTCCACAAATCCTGGTATAGTCGCCCCCTATTGACCATTAGATTAACATATATCTATCTATCTATCTATCTATCTGTCTGTCTGTCTGTCTGTCTAAAGTTTTACGTATTTTAATTGCATATAAAATGTTCCTTCATTTGGATTACACAGTTTTACCATAATAAAATTGAATATCTGTCAATCAAATATAAATGAAACAAGATTTATATGTTTGAAATACACAACCAGGTTTATGCCTTTATTATTTTGAAATCAAAAGTCTCAGTGGCACATATTACTTTCCCCTTTGCCTGTTATATGTTTTTGCCAAGAAAAATTTGCGGCAAAATACCCTAGCAACTGCCTAGCAACCACCCGAAACACTCTAGCAACTCCCTAGCAACCAGTCAAAACAGCCAAGAAATCACTTAGAAGCTAGCAACCCCTTAGCAGCTAAAACAACCTAGCAACTGCCTTGCAACCAGCCAAAACAACCAAGAAACCACCTAGAACAACCTAGAAACCAGCCAAAGCACATTAGCAACTGCCTAGTGACCAATCCAAAACACTCTAGCAACTGCCTTGCAACCAGCCAAAACAACAACAACAACAAACACCTAGAACAATCTAGAAACCAGCCAAAGCACTTTAGCCTAGCAACCAAAAAATAAAAAAACACTCCAGCAACTGTCCAGCAACCAGACAAAATGTTCTAGCAACTTCTCAGCAACCAGTGAAAACACTCGAGCAAGTGCCTAGCAACCAGCTAAGAAATCACCTAAAACAACCTAGCAACTGCCTCGTGAACATTCTAACACACTCTAGAAACCGCCTAGCAACTAGCCAAAACACTCGAGCAAGTGCCTAGCAACCAGCCAAAAACCAGCTATTTAGCAACTACCTAGTGACCAATCCAAAACACTCTAGAAACTGCCTAGCAACCAGCCAAAACACTCGAGCAAGTGCCTAGCAACCAGCCAAAAACCAGCTATTTAGCAACTACCTAGTGACCAATCCAAAACACTCTAGAAACTGCCTAGCAACCAGACAAAACACTCGAGCAAGTGCCTAGCAACCAGCCAAAAACCAGCTATTTAGCAACTACCTAGTGACCAATCCAAAACACTCTAGAAACTGCCTAGCAACCAGACAAAACACTCGAGCAAGTGCCTAGCAACCAGCCAAAAACCAGCTATTTAGCAACTACCTAGTGACCAATCCAAAACACTCTAGAAACTGCCTAGCAACCAGCCAAAACACTCTAGCAAGTGCCTAGCAACCAGCCACTATAGCAACTGCCTAGTAACCAATTCAAAACGCTTTCGCAAGTACCTAGCAACCAGCCAAAACCCAGCTATTTAGCAACTGCCTAGTGATCAATAAAAAAAACACTCTAAAGCCTAGCAACCAGCCGAAACACTCTCACGAGTGCCTAGCAACCAGCAAAAAAAAAAAAAGCCATTCAGCAACTACCTAGCAACCAGCCAAAACATTCTAGCAGCATCTAGCAGCCACTCAGAACAACTTAGCAACCAACACCATAAAACCCAGCAACCACCTAGCAACACCACAGCAACCAGCCTGTAACACTGCTAGCAAGTGCCTAGCAACCACTCAGAATACCCTAGCAACTGCTTAGATATATGATAAGATCTCAAAACAACCAGATGTGAATCTGCTTTGTTGGATAGTTCAGTATATACTTGCAAAGTATAAGCTGCAGCTATGAGCTTACAAAAATAAAACTTTTGGTCACTTAGCGTAAAAGTACAAAGCGTAAGGGCCTTTTGTTTTTTCCGTTCTGTCAATCCCACCTCAGTTCAGCTCACATGTCTGAACTATAATTGAGAGAATGAGAGATAAAGTGTGTTAAAGGGGTCATATGATGCAATTTAATTTTTTCCTTTCTCTTTGGAGTGTTACAAGCTCTTGGTGCATAAAGAAGATCTGTAAAGTTGCAAAGACTAAAGTCTCAAATACATAATGTTCTTTTTAGCAGCATCATATGACCCCTTTAAAGAAGTCACGAGTGCTGTAAAACAGGGAGATGGACGTGTGCCAGGCTGAACCTCTAATAGTGCCAGCGATCCGACCTCTGAGGCCACAGCGCTCAGCTGTGGTCTCCCTCACAGTGCCCCTCTGACGGCCAACAGCAACAGAAGCAGGGCAGCAGGGAACACGGCCAGGGACGCTGTATTTCACAGCGTAGCGAGGGACCGTGCGAGAGATTTCCCCATGGAATTCACTCATGAAATCACATTTGACCCCATTTACTTTCTCAATGCACTACTGATTCAGAACGAGGCGAAAAAGCAGTTTAATTTCACATGTTTGGTCCTAGAAACCACCTAGAACAACATAGCAACACTCTAGAAACTGCCTAGCAACCAATCAAAACACTCTAGCAACTGCCTGGCAACAAACCAAAACACTAGCAACTGCCTCGTGAAAATTCCAAAACACTCTAGCAACTGCCTAGCAATCAGCCAAAACACTCAAGCAACTGCCTAGCAACCAATCAAAACACTCTAGCAACTGCCTGGTAACCAGCCAATACTCTCTAGCAACTGCCTCATGACCATTCCAAAACACTCTAGCAACTGCCTCGTGAACATTCCAAAACACTCTGGCAACTGCCTTGCAACCAGACAAAACACTCTATCAACTGCCTTATGAACATTCCAAAATACTCTAGAAACTGCCTAGCAACCAGCCAAAACACTCAACAACTGCCTGGAAACCAATCAAAGCACTCTAGCAACTGTTTCTGGGTTGTTCTGGCTGGTTACTAGGTAGTTGCTAGAGTGTTTTAGTTGGTTGCTAGGTTGTTCTTGGGTTCTCTGGCGGGTTGCTAGGCAGTTGCTAGTGTGTTGTTCTGAGTGGTTTCTAGGGTTTTTTGTCTGGTTTCTAGGATGTATCTAGCATGTTTGACTACAATAGTTGCTAGAGTGTGTTGGTTGGTTGCTAGGTTGTTGTAGCTGGTTTCTGTGGTTCTCTGGCTGGTTGCTAGGCAGTTGCTAGGGTGTTTCGACTGGTTACTATGTTGTTCCAGGTGGTTTCTAGAGTTCTTGGGCTGGTTGCTAGGTTGTTAGGGTGTTTTGACTGGTTACTAGGTTGTTCTAGGTGGTTTCTAGGGTTTTTTGTCTGGTTTCTAGGCCATCTCTGGAGTGTTTGACTACAGTTGCTAGAGCGTTTTGTTTGTGTTTCAAATGGTTTCTGAGTCGTTGCTAGGTTGTTCTAGGTGGTTTCTAGGGTGTTCTGGCAGTTCCTACAGTGTTTTGGCTGGTTGCTAGGTTGTTCTGGGTAGTTGTTAAGAGTTATGCTAGATTGTTGTCAGCAGCTTTATAATTTTTAGCTGCTTATATCCATTTCATCATTGGACATCAGATTATTTCAGCATGCTTTGCTTTATCTGTGTCATACAGAAAATTTGCTTACTTTGCACAGTAAATGCACAGAGTACTGCAGAAAGTATGAGTAGTATGGTAGCATGTTTTTTTGAACAAAAGCCACAGATTGTTTTTTAAGGACTGCAGGTCTGCTTTAGTGTCAGCAGAGGGCGCAATGTCACATTTGTTAAGATCACGTTTCTTTGTTGGCAGTTGCAATCACAGCATGGAGGGTTTGAAAAGACCTTGTTGTTTGGCTGTTTAGTTTATGATGTTGGTGTATAACACACACACAAAAAAAAATCTTTCGGCGGTGAGCTGTGTATTTATCTGTAATGTCATGCTAAAGCGATGTCTCTGATTGTGAGACTTATTTGGTTTGGAAAAAAAAACAAAACAAAGAGACCAAAGAGGAGAAATCAATTTAATCTTTTTTTCCTTCATCAAGAAGTTAATTTGGACACAATCTAAACTGATATGACCCAGTCTTTCTTGAATAAAAGCTCTTTCAGACTGGTCCACCCTCTCACGTTTCCAGCAAATATTTCCATGTCTTATCCTTTCTGCGGAGGCACCAAATGTCTTGTGGAGGTGTTGAAGAGAAACAGGGAGAGGGAGGTGAAGTTCATGGTACTTCTGTCCCAAATAAATTAACCATACTAAAACAATATAATGTTCAATTATCAAATAAGAAAAAATGAGCAGCAAAACCCCCCAGAAACCAGCCAAAGCACTCTAGCAGCTGCCTAGCAACGAGCCAGAACAACCTAGCAACCAGACAAAACCTAATAGCAGGGGTCGGCAAGTAAGTTTGGCATCGGGCCAAAACTAAATTTCAAACTTTCGCCACTAGATAGCGGGCCAGAATATAGTCAAAGGATAATTTAAGAAATTCATTGATGAAAAATGCAACTACAATTGCCTGTGACAGACTGTTACAGTGTGTTTTGTAACTGGTAGTGAGCTGTTACTCTGTGTTAAAACCTGTAGTAGGACAGTAATTAATAAAAAGCCACATTTGTGTGGCGGTGTTCAGGTTTTACACTGGATAAATTAAAGGGATAGTTCACCCAAAAATGAAAATGCTGTCATTAATTACTCACCCTCATGTCGTTCCAAACCCGTAAGACCTCCGTTCATCTTCGGAACACAAATTAAGATATTTTTGATGAATTCCGAGAGCTCTCTGACCCTCCATAGACAGCAAGGGTCCTACCCCGATCAACGTCCAGAAACGTAGCAAGGAGATCGGTAAAATAACCCATGTGACATCAGGGGTTCAACCGTAATATTACGAAGCTACGAGAATACTTTTTGTGTACAAAAAAAAAAAAAAGACTTTATTCAACAATTCGTCTCTTCTGCGTCACCCTAGCGCCATTTTGGAGAATATCCACTGAACGCAAACAACGTATGTTGTTCTGTGTCAGCCGCACCACACGGATACGTTGTTTTTGTCAGAATGCTGTCAGAATGCATCAAACATATCTTAATTTGTGTTCCGAAGATGAACGGAGGTCTTACGGGTTAATAAAAGAGGACTTGAATAAGCCCATTAATGGCATTTGAGTCATGCTCTTAACGAACAATGTTTTATTTCCTCTTTCCATATTGTGAATAATAAATG